GGATATGTACGCACAAGATGCGACATCTTGGCAAATATACTTAGAATTAAACCATTAGGTCTTTCATCCTTAAGTAGATAACCCATAGCAATAAACAACATAAAACAAGAGGTTCTTGTAGAGTACTACAGAAACTTAGGATGCTAGCACCTTCCCTAAGTTTAACCAACCCTCAAACCTAAACTCTCTAGCTTTCGCATTTGCATTGCATTGTGGGTAATTCGATCTTTTTCCCTTCCTTTGGACAAATAAAAGACCGGTTGTAATGAATTAAGATTCAAGTTAATCAATAGCTTGGTATCCAAATTTCACCGCGATAACACTTCAGTATTGGCAGAGGCAGAGGTCATAAAGGTCACTAAGGACATAATCGTTTGTTTGTCCATGAAGGCTCCTACAACATTCATCAAAACCATGCTGGTCTTATGCTCCTTGCAAGCCGAGTGGCTTCCCAAAAGACCTTACTGTTTGAGCTTCTGAGCAAGCTCTTGTAAACAATCGTGATTGAGCATAACCAATCCTATTTAGGCGCCTTGACTGAAGATTTACATGGAATCGGTCTCCCATTGCAGATCCAAAAGCATCACATGAAAAAGAAGAAACACGGATGATCAGCCAATGACAGCGGTGTCGACGACAATAACAACACATAATGAGAAAAGATCAAAGAGTTTTGGCAAGAATTAAAAGCCATCATCAACTCCCAGATATGATCAAACATGGTAACATCAAAATGGCAAGTTTTTCTTCATTTCAAAACATAAATCAAACACCTTTATCAAGTTTCTGAAACAGTCTCAAACACAATAATTCGAAAACGGAAACTTTTTTCATCAGTCATAATAGGATGTTTTCCTTCTAAAAACAAAATCAACAACATTCAATTTCAAGAGTCAGAAGTTAATGCATAGAACCTATAAAAAGGGAGTGAACATACGCATCAAGGGAGATCTATACGAAAAAATACACACTGTTATCTCATCTTCCTACAACACACGGTTCACATTGGTATTCGAAAACCATACATTCACAAAACTCATAGCAACATAAGAAAAATGTTATTTTTACACCATTTTCTACACCCAATACTTACACCGTATACACTGTTCACCGTATTTATACGGTGAACAGTGTTTTTTTATTAAAATAATATATTTTTTTAAAATATTAATTTTTTTAAAAAAAAATATTTATTTTTAAAATTTATTTTATAACACAAATATAAAATTGCGCATTAACCAACTTCACAATTGCATTAACCACAAAAATCTACACTATTAGCCAATTATTTTACCTATAATTTATTAACCACTTTCACTACTTCATTAACCAATAAAATACACACTATTAACCATGTTCTAAAGAATTTGTTCAAGTACTTATGAACAGTAAATTGGGGTGTAAGGTGTAGAAAATGGTGTCAACATAGCAATCCTGAGCAACATAATACACACAAACACGACTTTGAGAAAAGAGCTAACAGTATATTCAGAAAAACAACACCACAAAACCACCAAAAGAAAATTTCACGCAAAATTCAGAACAGAACTCACACGAAATTTGAAGAAGATAACATCACTTCAAGTACAACACGTAGAAGCAAAAAACGAAATGCGGTGTAGAAGCGATTCACACGCACCAAACAAATTACGACAAGACAACAACGAAACATAATCAAAGTTTAAAAGGAGGGGAAGAAACTCACCAGAGAACGCTCGTGCGTATCATCAGGAAAGATTCAATTGCATCGCCAGAGCCACCACAAACCGCTTCTCTCATCGTCACCATCGCTGCTAAAATCGCTATCCTTCTCGTCTCCGATCAGTAATGCTTATGATTTCCCTTGAGTTTCTTTTAAACCAATGACTTACTCTTGGATGTGTGTATACTCGTTTTGTTTTTGTGAAAAATTTATGTTGTAATTGATTATATGACAAAGAAAATGGGTGAGAATGAGAAAGAGGAATGCATGTTGTGTGTATATGTGAAAAGAATATGCGAGCAAGCCTTGGGGATATGTTATTCCATCAAGGATAATGGGTTGAGCAGGCTTGATTGAGTAAGCCCAAGTTCTTTAGACACTCCTTTCAAAAATAATATTCGTGTGGGCTTCTATCACATAGCCCATTTACATCATATAACACCTAAATCCAATCGCTACCCCCCTTTGTTTTTGTTGTTTATATTTAGATCTTTTTATCTTTCTTACAAAATTCAATATTGATTAGAATTGGAGGTTAATTCGGATATAATTTTGATTAAAATTCTAATTAATCTCGTTTAAAGCTCTAAGTAATTTGATTAGATATTTATTATAATTTTATTTCTTATCTTGATTATAATTGTAGATTAAATGTTAATTTTGATATTGATAAACTTTGATCTTAATGTTGATTAAATTCAAATTCAAATTGTGATGTTGTTTTTTTAATCTTATTAATTTAGGCTAATGTATGTTCTCACGATTTCTTGCGAAAACTTGATGGTTTTTCTTGATTGATCGCTAACTGATCTTGATGCGGGCTCTTGTTGTTTTTTGCATGACTTAGATTCACATGCTCCCTTAGGGTTAACTTTATTCTGACTTATTAAATCAAATTAAAGCGTAATGTCTCATTAGGATCAATCTCTGACATGACAACATTAGTTTAGGAATCCTAATACTAGGTTCACTTTCGCATGATAACACTAGGCTAGAATTCCCCTTTTTGATCTCAACTTCATGATCGATCTTTACTTAATCACATATCTTGATTGCCTTTTTTTACTTGATAATTATGGTCCTTAAATATTTATTATTGTTTATGTTATGTATCCAAGGGAAGAACTTATGTTTGACTTTATAGTCATACGCATTGCATTTTCATCTGCATCATTTACCCCTTTTAGATGATCCCTACTTTCCCTCAGGTCGATCAATTATAGGTATACATACTCATATCTTCAGGTTAGGTTCCCTTATGATTTCAATATTAGACAACTTACAGATTAAGATCATGTTCTCCCATGAGAGAATTAGACATAAGTCATCTATGTAGTTGAAATATAATTCTCCTACCCCATAACATAGTCGAGAAAGATGTAGATTTTTTTCCGCTTGAGAGAGGTATGTGACATACTCGTCGATTCTATATCCAAGTTAGAGTCTTTCTCCCAATGCAAAGCAAAGACCGTCTTCCACGTGTTTATGGTGGTTTAAGTCGAGTATTCTACTTAAGATGACAACTTGTCTCTTCTCTTAAAAATCAATAAACTTTATCCTTTGCGGGGAACTACGAATGCTCAGATTCCATCCTAGTCAGAATACGTAGGCACGAGATGTGATGTCTTGGCGAGCATACTTAGAAATAAACTCTAGGTTATTCCCTTAGCATGCAGATAATAAGTAATACAATAAAACAAGAGGTTCATGTACAGTGCTACAAATACTTAGGATGCTAGCACCTTCCCTAGGTATAACCAACCTCCGAACCTTAGATTCTCTTTTGCTTTGCATTGCATTGCATATTTTGGGTTATTCGCTCTTTTTCCCTTCCCTTGGATAAATTAAAGATCGGTGGTGAACTATGATTTGTGATTCAAGTTAATCAATAGTTTGATATCTGATTCTCATGCGATATTCTCACCATAAATCCAACCATAATGAAAAGGTTTAGTTGGAAGTCCGTAAATGTGACCAAACTTATATGAGAAGCGGTGGTCGGGGAGAGACGTTCCATACAACGTAGGAAGTCTGTGATCCGTAACCAAGATTATATGAGAAGCGGTGGGCGGGAAGAGACGTTCTGTACAACGTGGGGAGTCAGTGGCCCGTAACCAAGCTTATATGATAAACGGTGGTCAGGGAGAGACGTTCCACGTAGTTATCCATCTCTCGAGGTAGATGTGGCTCATTTGAGCATGAGTATTGATACTCACACATCGTTTGAGACTGGTTAAGTCTCGTTATCTTTACCTTGAGTGATCGTAGGACATGTAAGGTTGATGATAAGAGTATAAACAGAATAGAATTTGAAACACCTTAATCAAGTGGACTTATGGTTTAGTAGGACTCTACTGAAATTGTAAATCTCACCCCATATTGTGGTCATATTTTTCAGATAAGCAGGTGTTGGGCAAGGGAAAAGACAAGATGTCTTGAAGAATTTGAAGATCATGTTATTTATTTTGTTTTTGTAGTGTGCTTTCTCTTATAGTATTTTGTATCTGACATCTCATTGGACATGTCCTATGTTGTAGACCTTATTTCTTACACGTATTGATGTAATTTAGACACTTTTGTTATACTCAGTAACACATTTTGACATTCTAAATATTATGATTCTAGATGTATTTTATTCGGGATTTTACAACCATTTTGTCCTCCAAGTCTTCTAATATTGTTGGTGTTGCTTCTATAATGGGTGTCGATGTTTATTTTAAGGTCTTTTTAGCTTTCTTAACATGTGTCCTTACTATTGGTCCTGGAAGTCCATTATTTGCTTCATTATCTTTGATAATAATGTTCTCATCACATCTTTGACTGAGAGAGAGAGAGATTACCTTGTTGGATTTGGCAATCTCAAATGGAAGAAAGTAATTCAAACACCAAACCACCAAGAAGAACATTCGGATTCTTCTTGATCAATAGAGCCCTGCATCTTCTTTGTCATGAGGCTCGCCTTAACCAAAAGATAACTCTATATAGGCCTCTTCAATTGAGTCTCCGTTAAGGAGAGTGCCGTGTTAACGTCTAATTGAGACATGAGCATGTTAGTTCTATGAATCTAGATAGAGAGTGAGAGAAGATCTCTTCATTGGTTCAATCTGAAAATCACAAGAATGAAATTGAATGACAATTGCAATTAATACAAAGCTATATGTATACCTAACTAATAATAACTGTAAATTATTAATTAACTCTTAAAAAGAGGGAATAATCTTAAGCTACTATAACTGTTTGTAACAATGGTATAAAAACACATCAGAATATCATAAACTGAGTTCAATTATCTTCTACTTCAAACTCCAAAACTGAGTTCAAGATCATCATCATCTTCCATGCCCGCTTCAAGCTCCAAAATATTCAATACTGAATATATATCATCTGCTCTTGGATGAGATTGATCTGCAACGCGAAACTCATGCACTTGTCCATTCAACTCTACCCAGCTACACCCTGGTATTTTCTTTAGTCCTCTATCTCTAAGAAAACTCCTCATTTTAGCAACCTTGTCCCATTTTCCTGCTGCAGCATATATATTCGATAGCAACACGTAGTTTCCAGCATTTTTAGGTTCCATATTTATGAGTTTCTCAGCAGCAAGTTCTGCAAAATCGGTTTCTGAATTGTGCATCTTACATGCACTCAACAAGGGTCCGTAAACCCTCGCATCTGAATTTAGTTGACTATTTTCTATTATTTCGCTTGCTTCATCGATTTTTCCGGCACGTCCTAATAGATCAACCATACAAGCGTTGTGTTCCTTACTAGGTTGGTAACCATAAATTTCCACCATCTCCTTGAAAATCTCCTTGCCCTTTTCCACAAGGCCGGAATTAACGCAAGCCGTGAGAATCCCAAGAAATGATACTTGATCTGGTTTAACATTGGATAGTTTCATTTGGTCGTATAATTGAAAACATTGAAACCACTCTCCATGGTTAGAATATGCAGTGATCATAGAGTTCCATGCAATTATATCTTTATGGCTGTTTTTCTCTTCATCAAAAACCTTTCTAGCCATCTCTATGCAACCGCATTTTGCATAACTACTAAGAAGCGTCGTCTTAAGCGATTTGAGAGAATCCAAATTGGTTTTCAATGAGTAACCATGTAAGTATCTTACATAATGCAATGCCCCTATCTTTGCAAAAGCAGGCAAAATGTTAATGACTATTACAAAATCAACTTTAGTACCACACAACTTCATTTCCACGAACAGAGAAAGCGCCTCGAAACACTGATCATGGATTGCATACCCTTTGATCATTGCGCTCCACGAAACCACAGTCTTGTCCACTATCAAACAGAAAATCTTCTCCGCCGAATTTATATCATCACACGTGGAATACATATCAATAAGAGAATTATGAACAGAAACCTGATAATCTGAACCATTTCTCATCACTTGAGCATGCATCTGCTTCCCCCACTCGTTGAACTTTAACTTCATGATCGAAGAAATTGCGGGGATTGCTGTGAACAAGTCGGGTCTAATCCCCGATCTAACCATACAATACACAAGCTCTAAGGATTCCTTAGGGTAACCTTTCCCAGAATACGCCGAAATCATTATGTTCCAAACTACAACATCCTTCTCAGGCATTTTCTCAAACATCATTCTTGCACCTTCTAGATCACCCAACTTAGCATACATAGACAACAACGCGGTATTTACAGTTAGTTCCTTACACAAATCACACACAACAACCAAAGAATGAAGAACTTTCCCAATCTTCAATGAGCTCAATTCAACACTAACCCTTAACAAGTTAATCACAGTAACTGAATTGAATTGTTGTATATTGTCTTTTCTCATCCTACAAAAAATTCGAAAACTTTCCACAAATTTCCCACTTTCATAAGCCTCATAAATCAAACTATTCCAACAATTCAAAAAACCATACAACTCTACCAAACAATTTTCCACCAAATTAAACCCATCCATACCCAATTTCACTACATGCCCATGAACCATCATCAACATCCATCGTTCTCGACACACGTAAAACAAAGAATTCAAAACAGAAACACAAGAATCTTCATCGGGGCACATGGATTTCTCAACCATTTCTTTATACAAAAAAAGAGTCCTTTCGTATTCACCGAACTTAAACAAGCTTCTAAGGAAAGCATTGTAGAGAACTGAATCTGGGTTTTCGGTGAAATGGAAGAGTTTGTGGGAGAAATGAAGGAGTCCAAAGTTGGAATAAGAATCAATGAGTTTGGAGGAAAGAGAAGAGTTTTGGTGGAGACCGTGGAGGAAGAATCTAGCATGGATTTGTTCAAGGTGTTGTGGTTTGGTGCAGAGATTTAGTATAGAAGAGGTTGTGGTGAAAAACCTTGTTTGAAAAGGTTTAATGTTGGAGATTTTGGTGATGTTAAAATAGAACATGTCTAGAATCTAACCAACGTACAACAGCATCTTACGTTGATCACCACTCACTCACTCACTCACTGCAAACAGAAAACAGAATTCAAATATAATCTAAAAACCGAGCGTGGGTGAGAATATACCATGCCAATTTTTGAATTATTTGACAGCCTAAATATATTTTATAAAAATTTCTGACTCAATTTTATTTAAATTTCTATGAGAATAAATAACTTTCTTTAAAAATCAAAATCTCTAAGTTAGGAGCACGAGTTTGAATTAGTGATATATTTTTTTTATCAAAACAAATTCAAAGAGTATCATTAATAAAAAAATGTTCAATATAAGGAGTTAAATTTTAAAAAAATACGTCTAAGTTAAGAAATAGTAAGAAAATGAACAATCATATTTGTTTGACATCTAATCAGTTTTACCTCAAAGTTAGGATTGACATATAACAAAACTTTTATAGAATTAATAATAAAATAAAACTCAGAACCTCCATTATGATTGAAGTGAATGGATTGAACAACAATTTGAGAATTACATTCGAAAACCACGTTTTCCAGATTCGGTTTAATGGCTTCGGGGATTGCTTCCTTAAGGGCCAAAGTTTCAGCTTCATTCACATGCATGATTCTGGGATCCCAAGCCATACCTGCAAAAATGAAATTATCAACATGATCACGCACACACCAACCTCTATTAGAAGTTCTTGTTTGATTCTTGAATGTCGCATCCACATTACATTTCAACCATTCTTCCCTAGGTGGGCTTCAAGAAAAAAGTACCTGATGGTTATTATTTGGAACATGCACTTTTTGGGACAAAAATCATTCCTACCACTTGTGGAAAGTTAACCACCCAAGCTTAGGAGCTTCCTCGAATTCATTGTTCGAAATCCGATTATTCCTATTTCTCTAGATCTCATCTATCATGACCGCAACTCTACCAGCATCCTTCATATCCTTCTTACTACAAATATCGAATATAAGTGTTTTAGCATCATGAAAAGAATGTAATCGAGCATCTATAATAGTAGACAAACCTGGTTCCCTCCAACATTGAATAATCTCACTACAATCAAAGAATAGGTGCCAATCATCCTCTAGATTACTATCACAAAATTGACAAAAAGATGGACAAGGGACATGATGTTGGCAAAGTCTAGCACGAGTCGGTAAGCAATCTTTACACATTCTTCACAATAGGTGTTTAACCTTTGGTGGAGCTTTAATATTCCAGAGACTATTTCAATCCTCGTTTCCATTCTCATGTCTCCCCTGTAAGCTTCTCCATAACCTGTAACCAGAACGCACACTGTAGGATCCATTTTATTCTTCCCTCCAGATCATCTTGTCCTCCTTGACCTCCTCCAATAGGGGCACTTGTAAGATTTCTTTGGAATATGCATAATTAAACAATTCTCTAATAACCCTAAAATCCCATTGTTTCACATTAAACAGCATAAGATTTCTAACAGTAATATCATACATACCATGGTTCAGGGGACCACTCAGACACCCTTCCTTCTTACCCCTGATCCAAGGCTCTTGCATAACCTTGATGTGACTACCATCCCCAATGCACCACCTGCAACCTAAAGATAAGGCTTCCTTCGCCTTCCAAATACTCCTCCACACAAAATTATGATTATAACCAAGATTAGTTTCAAAGTAAGATGTTCTAGGAAAGTACCTTGCTTTGAAAATTTTAGAGACCAGAGCCTGAGGCTTAGACAACAGATTTCATCCTTATTTAGCAACCATGGCCATCTTAAAAGCTTTAAAATCTCTAAACCCCAATCCCTCTTCCTTCTTAGAGCAAGCCAGCTTATCTCAGGCCATCTAATGGATTCCCCGATTATTACTACCTCCTCCCCACCAAAAGGCATTAAACATCTTCTCAATATTATTACAAACTGCATCTGGGAGAATAAAAAGGCTCATAACATAAGATGGTATAACTTGGAGCACTGATTTTATCATAACTTCCTTTTTTGCTCTAGATAATGCTCGACCTCTCTAAGAGTTGATTTTGTTCCAAATACGATCTTTGATAAAATAGAAAGTTTCCTTCTTACTTCTGCCAATCATAGAGGGTAATCTTAAATACTTTCCAGTACCCATTATATGACGAACACCCATGATACCAGCTAGATTCTCTTGGGCTGAATTACTAATGTTATTGCTAAAAAACACTTCATATTTGGTCAAGTTTATCTCCTGCCCAAAGGCAATAGTATAAGTGTTAAGTAGCTTCATGAGTTGTCTAACTTCAGAGATATTAACCCTGCAAAATAAAAAACAATCGTTAGCAAAAAGAAGGTGGGACACAGTGGGTGCTTCTCTACAGATTTGGATCCCGTGTATGTCTCCTTTAGCCATTGCTCCCTTAACTAGAGCTGAAAGTCCTTCTGACATTAAGATAAAAAGGTAAGGAGACAAAGGGTCCTCTTTCCTCAATCCTCTCCCTGGTTCAATCAGTCCAACTCTATCCGAATTAACAAGAATAATATAGTGTACCAAAGTAACACACATCATCATTCAATGAATCCACCGATCCACTATATCATACACCTTACTAATGTCAACCTTAAGACCCAAGTGAGCCTTATTTCCTTTAGTCTTTCTTTTAACACACATTTATCAAGCATCACCTTCAGCCTATTAGCAATAGCTTTGGACAAAATTTTATATATCACATTACAAAGAGAAATAGGACGAAAATCCTTTATATTCTGAGGGTTGGCACTTTTAGGTATCAAACGGGCATTCATGTCATTAAGTGACTAGACTAATTGATAAATAAAAAATCTCAAATTAAATGAGCCTCACGCCTTTAATGACATGAGCTAAAATACAATGAAGTATAAAAAGCTTTAGTGCCACCTTCAAACTGAATGAATGGACTTAAACGAACGAAAGGAGAAAATACCTTTGATGGTTAGTAAAGGTTTTGGCCGTTAGGGGAAAACTCTTGCGAAAGGATAGTAAGTTCGACAAGAAGAAAGGTAAAAGTTAGCAAAAGTATTATAGTGGCGAGGCATCTGGTATTCGATACTATCACTATAATAAGGAGGGTCACACAAGAAAGGTGTGTCCTGAGCGCCTGAAAGATCATGGAGGTAATGATAATGGCAACACAACCATTGTTCAATATGACTTCGACTCATCTGAACTCCTTGTGGTTTCAAGCAGCGACTCAAGAAAATAGTGGATTATGGATTCAGGTTGCATTTGGCATATGACTCAAAACAGAGAATTGTTCGAGGAGCTATGTGATCAAGATGATGGATCAGTGCTGCTAGGAAACATAAAAGCTTGCAAAATTGCAGGTATTGGATCTGTGAGATTCAAGCTCCATGATGAGTCAATAAGGCTATTGACTAAAGTCAGGTATATACCTGATTTGAAGAGAAATTTGACTTCTCTTGGTGAATTCGACAAGAAGGGATATGTTTTTCAAGGAGAGAAAAGTATCCTAAGAGTGATGAAGGGGTCAAAAGAAGTCTTGAGAGGCGTGTAGAAACAAGGCTTGTATACCCTTGAGGCTGAATTTCTAAGTGGTTCGACGAATGTTGCATCCATGAAACCTTTGTCGAAGACAGAAATTTGGCACATGAGATTGGGCCATGTCAGTGAAAGGGGTCTGGTCAAATTGGGGAAACAAAATTTGCTTGGTGGAGACAAAGTCGAAAAGCTGAAATTTTGTGAACCCTATGTACTTGGAAAAAATTGCAGAGTGAAGTTCAACAAAGGTAAACAAAGAACACATGGATCCCTTAATTACATCCATGTTGATCTTTGGGGGCCTACAAGGTGTCAATCACATTTAGAAGCAAGGTATTTCTTATCCATAGTTGATGATTATTATAGAAAGTTATGGGTATTCATCCAGAAGACTAAGGATGAAACTTTTGAGAATTTCAAAGGTTGGAAGACTTTGGTCGAAAATCAGACTGGCAGTAAGGTCGAGAGGTTGAGAACCGACAATGGCCTTGAATTTCGCAATGAGGCATTCGACAGCTTTTGTCTTGCCTCAGGTATTATAAGGCATAAAACCACTGCAGATACTCCACAACAAAAGGGTTTGGCATAAAGGTTTAATCAAACTATTTTGGAAAGAGTTAGATGCATGTTGACTAGTGTTGGACTAAAGAAGGTGTTTTGGGTTGAGGTTGTTTTGATAGCAACATATTTGATAAAAATATGTCATTCAACTGAGTTAGATATGAAGACACCTAAAGAAGTTTGGTCGGGACATCCACCAGATCTTAATAAACTGAGAGTATTTGGCTGTGTGGCCTATGCTCACATTAGGCAAGACAAGGTCAACCTAGAAATGCATGTGCATGGGATACCATGAAGGAGTCAAAGCTTATAGGCTATGGTGCGTAGAGTCAGGTTATATGAGGTGTATCATTAGTTGAGATGTAGTTTTTAATGAAGCTGAGACGGTCTTCAAGAAAAATGATGATGTTGTCGAAGAGCTGGAACATGGAGAGATTCTTGTTGAGGTGGAACATGTTGATGCTAAATTACACACCCTAGATAAAGTTGAATAAGAAGCATAAGTTGTTGTTGAAGATGAGGAGACTGATAATGACTACATGCTAGCAAGATATAGGTCGATGAGAGTCATCAATCCACCTCAGAGACTTGGGTATGTAGATCTTATTGCTTATGCCTTAATCTCTACAAGTGAGGTTCTAGACGAAGAACCTAAAGACTATAAGGAAGTTATGAGGAGTCGAAATAAACTTGAATGGATGAAGGCGATGGATGATGAGATGAAATCTCTTCATGATAACAACACTTGAGAACTGATCAAGAAACCTGTTGGAGCCATGTTAGTCAGCTGTAAGTAGATTTTCAAAGTTAAGGAAGGAATCAAAGGAGTGGCGTCGAATAGATACAAGGAAATATTGGTCGCTAGGGGTTTCACTCAAAAAGAAGGTGTCTACTTTAATGATATATTCTCTTCTGTTGTGAAGCACACGCACATTCGAATGTTTCTTG